AACATTTCAAGGAGAAATTTTGACAATTACTAAAAGGGTTTAAGAAGTATAATGTCAATTTTAACTTTGTTTTACAACTTGTTACAGATTTTATGAAAGACATCAACCTTAATTTTTAAAGTATCATATTTTCCCAACTTTTTCAAAACAAATGAGTGAATATAATTTTCTTAATAAAAATACCGAAGGTCAACAGACTCACTAGCATGTAAAATTTTGTCTATGTTCAAATATACTGATGTCTTCAGGGATGAATGTGGTTGTTCTTATATTGATAGATGATGTCTGCTTTCTTTTCTAACATGGCTAAGTAAAAGATGTGCCATGTAGTTGATTCTGAATAAAGCACACAGAAAGCAAATTCCTTGACCACATTTACTAAGAAGTGACAAAGAAAAGCCTAAATATTGTAATAATGTGTTGATTCAAAAAATATTTTTCAGATGACTGTTCAGGAGATAGTGTCACAGCCTCTGATTAATTTTGTCCAATCTATTGCTAAGTGGTATTTGTTGACTAGAATCAAAAGAACAAGCTGGTATGATTTCATTGTAGAGACTAAAACACTAAGGAGGAACACTGCCAACATCCTCATTCATTTAAAAGAAAGGTATCTGTCTAGTCTAGAGAGAGTAGAGTATAAAAGGAAGAGTAACAGTAGTTAATGAGGCATTTCACTGTCAATCTAGAAAATAATAGGGTTGGACTATATAATATCTAAGGTCCTTTTCTAGTTCTAAAATTTTATGATTATTGCATATGATTAGAAAAGAGTATATAAGAAAGTGACAAGAAATAACAGCTAATGAAGCTGTATTTTCTTTTTTTACCATTATATCCTTAATACATTGAGGACAGGGCATTTAAATATATAGATGAAAATCTGTGTCACGGGTCCACAATGTGTTAATATCTTGTAGTGAACCTGGTGTATAATAAGCTCTCAAATATTTGGTTAATGAAAAAATAAATTATAAAAAGTGGATAAAAAAATCCAAGAAAGCAATTTACTCATTCAGAGTAGAGGCAAACATACGTTTCTCTAAGAGAATCAACATATTACAGTGCAGTACAATGATTGGCAATGACAGGCAATTACAATGAGGACCCTGAGGCATCAAAAGTTTAAAAATGTGCCTAATTTCTTGTTATACACAAAATTAGGAAAATGAAAAGATAATGTTTTATGTTAATTGTTGAGGGTGGTTAAAACTATCACTTAACAAGGGTAACAATCAGTTTTCTGGGAGATTCACTTACATAGAACAGCTCATTGTTCTGTGTTTAATGAAGAGGTATTAAAATCTAATTCTCTTCAATAGTTGCAAGATAATATAAACCAAGTTGAACAGGCAAATCTTTAACTTTATCTAGCTACTGTTCATCCTAGATAAAATGTAAGGCAATTAAGTTAAAGATTCATCCCCAATTACATGCAAGTACAATACATTTTAATTCACTGACCACATGCCCTGATAACTTCTTCAAAAGCAATCGGATTATGTTATCTCATGTCATTCCGCCTGCTCTAAACTCTTCAATGACTTCCCAGCATAGAATAAACTGTATACTCCTTAGCATGTCTTGTAGGTTCTACTTCTGGCCACTGTCTCCTCCTCTGACCCATTCTTCACCTGTTATCCGCCCCCTTTATTCTGCTTCAGTCACTTTTCTTCTTAGTGTTCCTAAAAAACTTCAGTCTTGTTCCGGCCTTACTGCCTTTGCACTTTCTCTTCTCTTTGCCTAGAATGCTCTACCTTCAGATATTTGCAAATCTTAATCCCTCAGTTCATCATTCAGGTCTCTCTTCAAATGTTACTTCACAGAGGCTTTCCCTAAAGAGTCCATGTAAAATAGTATCACCCAGTCCTTGTGTCTCCAATCCCTTACCTGCTTCATTTTTCTTCCTAGCATCCAGACTAACTAGAAAAAATATATATTGCTTGGTTACATGTTTATTGCTTGTTTCCCCTCTAGAATGTCAGCACTGTGAGAGTATGGACTTCCTCTGTACCCCAGAACCTACCTAGAACAGGACTTGTCAAATATTGAGGGTTCCATATATATTTGTTGAATAAATGAATAAATAAACTAATGCAGATTTTTAAGATATATATACAAAAAAACAAGTGCAAATAGAAGACTTGGCAAGCAACCATTTGTGTTTTTAAGATACATTATATTTGTCTATGCATGGGCTCTCTCAGGAAGAGAACACAGAAACTGACAATGGCAGTTGCGCCATGCTGGGGAAATACGAAGGTCTGGGTGATAGGCAGGCTTACTTTCTACTTCATATTCTTCTGTACTCTTTGGAGCTTAAATAAGTCTAGGTATTTTTATTTCAAAAAAACAAAACAAAAAACTATTGAATTTACTTTAACCACAACTTTCACTTAGTAACAAAACTTCTATTTATGAATACTTTGTATTAAGCTCGTATTCTACAAACAGAAGTATGCTAAGCAATGTACACACTTCTCATTGAATTCCCATTACAATCCTATAATATAGGTATATTATTATCATTCCCATTTTATAGAGGGAGAAGCTATTACAGAGAAATTAAGTTCACTGGATAAAGTCACACTATTGGGAGCATAAGAGATGGGATTTGAACTTAGACTGAATCTAAAGCTCAAATATTGAATCACTACTCTCCCTGATGTAAATACATAATCCCCAGAAATTTTCTTATGGAAGTTAAAAATATATATTTGCCTACTTTTGATACAAATCTCAGGGCCTAGTAAAGGAGCCCTTGAATGAATATTGATTGAAATAAAACTGAAAGTCTATTATTTCTTTATGCTTGTGGGATATCATACTGTAGCTATAGTCACCAAATGTGCTATTAATTGAGAACTTTTGGATTAGGTTGATACAGTGATAACTAGTAACAAATAAATGACGATTATCATTTGAACATTCTATATACCAGGTATTATGGTAAACATTTCACATTAATCATCTTAGTTAATCCTTTAAATAATCATATAAGGTACATACTATTATCGTCCCCATTTTCCAAAAACAGAGACTTAGCTTTAGGATAAGTAATTTTTCAAGATGACATAGCTGGTAAGTGAGGAGCCAGAATGTGGACCCAGATCCAAAGCCAACGTTCCCGTTCTTAACAACTATGCTCTGCTGGAATCAACAGAACGCTTTCAAGTAATGAAACAGAAATGTTGCACAAATTATTTTGAATGTGGAGTGATACAGTTATAAAATATTTCTTAAATACAAACTCAAGCCTGAATTAGATTCAGATTCAATAAACATTTTTTAGGACCAGGAACTATCCTCCACACTGTCATTTATAGTCGCTCTGCAACTTAAGCTTCTTTTTAGAAATAAGTTTAGTACTAGAGTCACTCCCTCTGTTACTTACAAGCATCAGGGAACAAAAATTTCAAGTGCAGGGAAGGGCAGCACTGACATCTGGGCTATTTTTTTCTCCTAGTTTTCACAGAGTTGACAGCATAAAGTCATTTTATGTGTACCTTAATTGCTGCAGGGTATATTTATAGTGGGACAAGATGCACTTTCAAAAAGAAAATGTTATGTACTTGTATGTATTTATTCAGTAACAGAAGAGATTAATTACTACAGTTAAAGGCAGACAATCTTTGTATTGAAACAGACAATTCTTACAAAAAAAAGAAACTTTATAACAAGCAATATCTAGTCTTTGAATAATATATTCTCTAGCACCAAAGTTCATAAATACCTCCCAAAATTCAAACTTGGGGGCTGAATGTGGTTGGGGTAACATTACCAACTAAAACCTGTAGAATGCCTATCACATTCTACCTGATTGTTAACAGTTAACCTAAAGTACATATTACACAGCAAAATTATTCAATTATGGTCAAATCTCATAAACAGCAATCAGCCTTGACCTCTGTGTAAATGAGTCGCTAAAGAGCTCCTAACGGAGAGTCTTGCAAAAACTAAGAACAAACGGTAGGATTGATTCTCAGTCCCCTTCATTTGCACCTTGCCAAGCAGTATCTCTTGCATTCCTCATCTGACCCTCGGCAATCCCGTTAGGCAGTGCTTGCAGGTTTTATCTTGATGCTCAGGGATCTAGGTTCCCCACAGACCTTTGCCTGGACTTTACCGGATAAAAAGTTTATAAATTGGTGAGCCAAGGTCCCTTATTTGATATTTAAGCCAAGAATTACATCTACAGATCTGTCTGAAACAAAACACTCTAAACTTGGAGTCCGGAAGTAACTTTACACTGTAAGGTGCTGGACAATTAAAGTGCTCTGGTAAATTCTGGGCAAGGGACCAAGACGCCCTTTAAAACTTCGACTTCCTCAGAATTTAATGCAGGAGATCCCTGCCCTTCCTGCTGAGCAGTCGAGAGCTCCAGATCAGGTAGAGCGATGCTCTAGGGGGTTCTCGAGTTCCTTCGTCCTTTAGCTTTCTCCCCAGGGACCCTAACCACGCCACCATCCCCACGTTCACTCCCGATTTAACGTTTCCTTGTTTGTCAGCCCACCTGGTCCACTACACATGAGGCGGCGGGACCCCTCCGCTTCCAGCGAGACGGGTCATCAAAAGGTGCGTCCTGAAACCAGACTTTACTCCACGAGTACCTCTCCTTCGTCTCTGCCCCAAGGAGACGATACTGTAACTCCTCACTTCGATGTCAGCCCCCGACGATTCAAACTCCACCAAAAGATTCAAACCCAAGCCAGCTTCCTCAGCGCGTCGTTTCATTGGCTGCCGTCTTCGTGACGTCATCACGCCGGACGTTGCCGCGGCGCGCTCCAGCCTGGCGCTGGGAGTCTCCGCCGCGGGGCCCAGCGGAAGCTGCCCGGCTCCGCGTCACCGTGGCAACGCGCAAGGCTGTTTCCGGAGGCGGTGACCGCGGTGGGCGGGGCTAGGCCGGAGCTGCAGGTGGGAGTCAGCCACCTGGGATCCTCAGGCTATTTCCAGATCCGCGGGCGCGAGCCGCGGTCCCAGGGTTCAGGGTGTGAGTGAGACGGGTGCGGCAAGGGGTTGGTGTGTGCCCTCTGCTAGAGGGAGAGGCGGAGCTTGGTGGGTGTGGATTAATGGGTTCTGGGTTTTATTTTCTCCTTTAGTCTATTGACTAGGAAGGCCTCCAAAGGCACAGGTAAAATGCTCTGGAAGGTTTGGGGACCTGTTCCTTCCATCCACTTTCACTTGGACCGAGCTGGGGTCAATTCGCCTCAATTAATTTAAAGTCCAGGGCTTTTGGTTTGAGACCATAGGCTTCATTTCTCAGGACTCCTAGGCCTTCTCCTTTTAGTGCTGTCAGTGAAACTATTTGGTGTTTGGGTGTTTTTTACCTTTCTTTCTCATGATGGCATTATAAAATAAATTCATTTAAATTTATTGGCCTAGTTCATTATTGGTTGTAGTGGTTTTCTAAAGCCCTAGGTTGTAGGAATGTACACTTTAAAAAGAAAAAAAAAACAACCCTGAACAAATGGGAAATATGTTTGCTAAAATAACTATTTGTCAAGAAAGTTTTAATAGAATTTCAATGTTCTTTTTATTACCATTATTGTATTCCTTTATCCAGCAATTACTGATTGTAGATTTTAGAGACATAATGGCCCACAATTGTGTCAATATCCCTGCCCTCTGGGAGCTTATAGTCTGTGATTCTCTATCACTATATGAATAGGATGGCACAGCACTGATGCAGAGTATTATAAGTGGAACAATGTATGGAAAACCCTAATAATATTTATTTCCTGTTGAAGAAGATCAGAAGCACTGTGTATTGTATATGATGCATATTATATGATTGTTTCTGAACACTGGATAGTGCATCAATAAAGCTACTAATTGCTGGCTGTGTTACATATATCTTAGCAAATACGATAGTTATTTGTGTGACGCTGCGTTTGGCAATAAAATTGAGAAGCCTTTTTATTTTATTTCAGATATGCACTCACTCTATAGTACTTTACCTTTGACGTCTCAGGCATTTTATTAACTTTATATATGTTATCTCATTTAATTCTCAAAACAGCCCATGAGATGCAGGTACTATTTATTTGACTGAAGAGAAAACTGAAATTTTCAGAAAATCTCCAAAAGGAAAATGTTTTTCTTGAACTGTACAAATCAGCTGCTGGTTCAGAATTGAGTAATTTGTGGTATACTTTCCAGATTAAGTGATATTAAGATGCTATCTTAATCTAGTCCGAGAAACGGCATGTTTTACCAATTTCTTGTAAAATTGCATTGATCACGGTGATTAAGTAGAAGTCTTAAATTTCGTCGTTTTTGACGCCCATATTGTATAAGGGTTACCAGTCTCACAGGTGTTTCCACACCTAACCCAAGTACTTATTTTACATTTAACTTTAAATTCTGCCTTGCACTTCCCATTAAGCAGTGTTCAGTGTTCAGATGAGGTCCGAATTTTTAAGGGATGCATATTTAATTAAAGCAGATAAATTTTAACGGTATAATCAATACCATTCCTGTGCCAGCTCTCAATAGTTTGGCAAGACAGTGAGTATAACAGAAAGGATGAGAGACCAGTGTATTTAGTAACGAAAGAAGGAAAAACAACCGAAAAATTTAGAAACATATAGTGCTAAGGAGACAGAACTTCCCACCATTTTAGAAATTGGAGTATAACGACCTGCCCTGTTATTTAGAACACAGAAATTGAACATAGGTTCGTAGTACACTGGAAAAGAGTGGAGATAAGTATAAAATGGAAAATTAGATTTAAAGTTGCATCAGACATTATAAAAATGTAAAAGTGAATTTAAACCTGGCAATGTTCATGTTTTAACACACCCCACCCCAAGGAACACCTTTTGGAAACCCCAGCATGCCTGTAAGACCCTTTGGCAGCTGGGGGCTGGAAACAGCGGAACGAAAGGCAGGCGTTCCTCGGTTGCTGGGGCGGACGAGGACCCAATCTGTCCGTCGTTTCAAGTTTCCCCCAGGGCTTGGGACCAAAGCGTGCGGCAAATTCAGGTTTTCCGGCACCGTAGTGGTCGTCGCCGACCCGAATTAGAGGCCAACTGAGAAATCTTCATGCCTCAGGTGAGGAGAAGGTGGCCGAGTCCCAGGAACTCTCTGGGAGCTCACCCCACGCCTTTGGGGGGAACGTCCAGGGATCGCCGAATTCGCTCCAGGACAAAGGAAACGCACGCCCCCTGCCCCTGCTTCCTCTCCTCCACACTCATTCATTCGTTCGAGTTCAGAAGTTTCTAAACAGTTTTCCTGGTCAGAGTGAAATTGTTAGGCAAAAAGATGCATTCCCCCCCCTTCCCTTTAGAACTTTCACTTTCTTTGCGTTTGGGCTCCAGCCTCCAGGTCGGGTTCTGGCCTTAGGAATTAAGTTTTCAAAGTTTTCTCTGCGGGGACAGCTGACTGCAATGATGGTAATTAGTAGTACTGCTGAGAAAGTAGTTTTCAAAAGTACCACTCACCTTTGTGCTTCCACAGTTAGAAGCGTTAATCTGGCCAATGTCGTGGTCTCCACAGCTTAAATTGAACTTTCCTGGCAGAGAAAAGTCAAATGACTTACCTACAGAGTTGACTAGAGACCAGGTGTCCTGACTCCCTGCTTCCCTTCCTGTGACCAGAGGGAACTTAAACTATCTTAAATCATTTAGGGTGGCAGCTTCTTAGCCAACTGCTGGAATGCTCTGCGTTATCTGGTAGGAGATTGGGCTGCAGAGGCTAGGAACTCCCTTTGGAGCTTGCCCCCTTCCATTTTTAGGGAGGTATTCAAGGGAACATCAAAGAGGAAAATTAATTATTGTGGTCCTTTCTCCACGTTGATCCACGTTAGTAGCCAGTTAGAGCATAAAAAATCTTCAGGCTTTTTACCTGGAACATAGTTGAGTAAATACATAGAAATCAAATACAGAGGAAAAGAAATGCTGGCAAAGGAAGCATTTTTTCTGTCCTACTTGATTTTTCCCTGTGGCTCTGATTCCTAAATTGGAATTGATGTTTTTGTTGTTGTTTGCTTGTTTTTTAAAAATATCAAAACAATGTAGATTGATTAAAGACTTCAGATTGCACTATTTAGACCTATACATTGTATGTCTTCTGTTGTGTACTCCAGAGTATTTCCGAGTGGAGTGGAGGAGCGTGCAGTAGGATATATTGGCCCCTTAAAAAAAATGAAAAGAATTCATGAGATACTACAAATACATAGAAATCATGAGATCCTACAAATACATAGTCAATGTAATTAAAATACCGTTTAATTACATAAGTGTTTTAAATAGTGCCAGGCTGTGTTTATAGCATAAAAGTTAAGGCTCTGGGCATAGAATGCTGAAGTTACAGTTCTAGCTTTATGGCTCTCTGGCTATGGGTATGTGACCTTTTGGCAAAGTACTTTTCTATTTTCCTCATCTTTAAAATGGAAATAATAATAATACCTATCTCTAAGAGTTGTGGTAAGGTTTGAATGAGTTAGTACATGTAGTGTGCTTAGAATTGTAAGTGGTACTAAGTAAGTGCTCAATAAATGTTAACTTATATTTTGAAAAATGTTAGAAGTATTAGAGAGGATACTTGAGTTTACTTTGTATAAGCTTTTTGAGAAACATAAGGCATAATTTTTCATTTGGCTAATTTATCACTACTGAACAACTAAATTTTTACTTAAAGCACTCATTTCCAGCCTATTTTTCTTTTCCTTACTTTTCCTGTGTCATGCCACATGATTCTGTGGACTATATGTTTGGTAAAGTTGATACATCCTCACGGTAACATCTTGTTGATATTATATTTACATAATATAAAAAATATAGATGTGTATTTCTTCTGCAGTCATTACATGTGGTTAACCTTTCAACATTATTCTTCATTTTCTATTGCAAAAGGAAGAGAAGGCATATTTAAGCAGGATTTATGTTTCTTGAAGTATTCTGAGAATATAATTTTTGATAGGGTTGGTCAGATAGGTGAAATTTCCTAAAAGCAAGGTTTGATAAAAACATTAATTTTGTAGAGTCTGGATTTACCATCCTTTTTTTTTTTTTTTCCCCTTTTCAGAAAACATTTCTTAAGCACCTAGTGTGCATTGATTTTGTGGATGTAAAGGTGTGGTCTTTCCCGTAAATAACTCATAATCCATGAGGAAGGAAGAGTAGTGTTACCTTGGTGCTTACTGTAGTAGTATCAAAAACGTTGCTTGCAACCAATTGGGTAAAAAGTGTGTTTTCAGAAGTTCTGTTAATATATTTACATAAATACTTTTTTCCCTGCATCTTAAAGAGTTACAAATTGCAGTTAAAATGGAACAAGTGTGAAAAAGTGAAGGGATATATCAGCTTTTTATTTACTTCTTTTGGGGGACATACAATTAAAACAAAGGTGGGAATGAAATGGCAAAGTGTGCTCAGCAGATTGTTTACAAAGTTATAGTTTAAACTGAAATGATGCTTTGTTCATATAGGCCATGCTGAGAGGATCTCGTCAAAATATCTACGATAAGTCTGCAAGATTTTTACCTTTCAGGGAGAGACTGATCACCTGTCTTTCTTTTTGGATGTACATGCATAGTCTTTTTCCAGGGATAGTTTCCCAAAGTTAAATTGAAGATTAAGATTAAGTATTATGAGAAAAAAAAAATTGAAGAGCTAGAAATGAAAAATCACCTAAACTTAAAATAGGATAATATTTATAATCTCTTCAGTCATCCAGATAGCTTTTTCAAATAGACAGTTCTAATGCATTGAACCCATTCTTTAGACTTAATTAAAATTCCTAAAAAATTTTATTTCAGAAAAATGACAAGTAATTAATTTTCACATCTCTGATGGTTAAAACATTAATGGTCTTAGAGCTTATCAGGCCACATTAAAAATTATATTTTCTGATTATTTCTTGGGTTGTTTTGGGTTCCTTGCTTTGCATAAGATTAGTCCCCTTCACTTGTTTAGGATGATGACCCTTACATATTTTTTTTTGTGTGTTAAATATTGCATATTAATGTGCTTCCCCCAAGTATTACAACATTCTTAAGGAATCCAACAATCATATTTAAATTTCTTTTCTAGATTTGTTGACCTACAGAATGCTTCGATACCCATATTTTTGTAGAACCTATAAAGAATTTCTTTCATGCTGGTTGGAATCTGGCATGTTTAATTTAGGTGTCTGGCCAAAAAAGATACATGCTACAGCAGAAAGATATGATGAACATGAAGCCCACGAGCAAACATATCAAACTGGAGCTCAGGAGTTTCACAGATCTCAAGGTTCTGAAGTGATGACTAAATTACATATTCCAGTAATGGTGGATGAAGTTGTTCGGTGTTTGGCACCACAAAAAGGGCAGGTAAGTTGATTTTTATTTTTTAATACTTTTTAAATTGAGATATAATTTATTTATCTTAATGTTCACAGTTTTAAAGTGTATGACTCCATGGTTTTTAGTATATTCACAGGGTTGTGGAATCATCACCATTGCCTAATTCAGGAACATTTTTATCAGCCCAGCAGGAAGCCCCATAACCCATTAGCGTTCACTCCCCATTGTTCCCCTTTCCTTGGCTCCTGACAACCACTAATCTGTTTTTTGTCTGTATGGATTTGCTTAATGTGGACATTTTATATAAATGGATTCATATAATATATGGCCTTTTGCATCTGCCTTCTTTTATTTAGCATGATTTCAAGATTCATCCATATTGTAGCATGTAACTATATTTCATTTATTTTTATCCCTGAACCATTCCATTGTATGGATATGCAATGGATTTTTTTAATCCATTCATCAATTGATGACATTTATGTTTCCACTTCGTGTTATTGAGAATAGTATTGCTATGAATATTCATGCATAAGTCTTTGTGTGCACAATATGTTTTCATTTTTCTTGGGTATACACCTAGGAATGGACTTGCTGGTTCATATGGTGACTTTATGCTTAACTTTTTGAGGATCTGCCAAACTATTTTTCAGAGCTGATTAGTTTTGTCAAATAACTGTTTAAAAAAAAAAAAAGAACATTACATTGGCTAATTGGTTAGGGTATAGAAACTGAATTCTAGTTTATCTTCTTGAGAATTTTAGTATCTTTTCAGGAATGACTGGAGACAAAAGTAAGGATCTGAATTCCTGTTCCCTGTTTTCTTAGACTTAGTTTCCAACTTCCATCTTCTCTTATTCAGAGTTTTTCAGAGAAACAGGACCAACACAGGATGTGCAACAGAGTGTGTGTGTGTGTGTGTGTGTGTGTGTGTGTGTGTGTGTGTGTGTGTATGTAGAGAAAGAGAGAGAGAGAAAGATTGATTGATTGATTTTAAGGAATTGACTCGTGATTATATCTGGTTAGTATGTCCAAAATCTGCAGTCAGCTCTCAGGCTGGAGACCCAGGTAAGAGTTGCAGTTAGAGACCAAAGGCCGTTTGCTGGCAGAATTCCTTTTTGTTCTATTAAGGCTTTCCGTTAGATCGGATGAGGCCCACTCACGTTATGGAGCAGTATCTGCTTTACTCAGTCCAGCAATTTAAATGTTAATCATTAAAATAATTCCTTCACAGAAACATGCAGAATAATGTTTGACCAAATGTCTGGGCACTGTGGCCCAGCCAAGTTTACACATAAAATTAATCATGACATCTGCGTTATTTATAGTGTTTCTGGCAGGATTATATAAGGCCTTAGATATGAAATGTTTTAATATCTATAAAGAGATCACAAAAATGTTAGGTGATATGATAGCCAAAAAAGAAAAAGTTAGAAATTTTCTGAAAATTAAGCACATTTATAAAAGGAAAAAAAAAATCTTTATTATAGTAAATTTTCTTTAAATGTGTTTTTATAACTTAATATTGATACTTTTTTATCGTGCTGACTTTAGGAATATGATCTCTTTTTCTAGAAGCTACTGTTATTACCTAAATTAGTTACTTTCATTTTAAAAGCATACCTTGCTGCTTCTTCCAGCATATAGTGGTTTGGTAGTTAAGAGTAAAGATTCTATAACTGGACTGCCTACGTTTGAATCCATTACCTAATGTGCATATGGCTCTTTTTTTTTTTTTAAGATTTCTTTAATTTAGAGCAGACAATTTTCATGAAGTAAGTGCTGAGCTATATGCATAAGGTATGTTAGAATGGCTGGACGTTGTTCATATACAAGCCATTAATGCTACGACTTAGGTTGCTTCATAATAAACATATTCAGTTTACCTTCGCTTCAGGCAGTATAAATATAACAAAATAAACCCAGTGTTCTTAAATGAGATTATATGTATAAAACATCTAGCTCAATGCTGTCATTCACATAGTAGGGATTCCACAATGTTCATGAAAATGTAAATGAAAAAAATAAGTTAGATAAAACTTCCAGTTAAACATGATTTCATCAAAATGAAATTCTCTTCATTGTCTTTGAAGAATCATAATTAGAATATAGTTATTACCAATACCTAAATGTGAGTTTCAAAAATGTATATATATGTGAGAGGGGAGGGGCAGTTAGTGAAAAAAGAAATAGAACTCAATTCAATGGTTTGAATTTGACTCTGGACCAAGAAACGAAAACTCATTGTATAAATTTGGTGAAACCTAGTAGCAAAAACCAAATACAGTAAAACCTTGAATTGCGAGTAACTTGGTTTGCGAGTGTTTTGCAAGACTAGCAAACATTTCTAATACGTTTTAACATGGTAAATGAGTGATGTTTGCAATATAAGTAGTTTGTTTCTGGAATGAATTATGCTCGCAAACCAAGGCATTACTATATTTATTTTGCACTAGCCCAGAAAGTAGAAAAGCAACCAAATGAAAACAACCCCCCCATAAGTCTTCTACTAAATCAGTATTGGATCTGTGTTTTTTTTCTACAACCAAGTGCGATAAAATTAGAGGATTCTAGAACTTGACCTACCCTGCTGTTTCATTCTGTTCAAGTTCCTGACAAATGTAATGTTGGTTTATGTTGACATTTCCATTGTTCTGATTTGAGTTGGGTTTTCTAGTAACTTTTTATAGAAAGTTTAATTTTATGAATGTAATTTCTGGAAGCTTTCATGTGAGGTACACTTAGAGACAATGTTATTTCTTACCTTTTCTGCTGTCTGGCAGACAGCTTTATTCACTATTCCCTTAATCTTCAAGTAATAAAGAACTGGTGACAGTCCTTGGACAGGAAAGGTCTTCATTTCTTCCAGAATCCATTATTTGCTTCTTTTGTTCCTGAGCCTTTTCCCCAAAATCATTTTCCTTTGCAAACTATGAGTCATACATTCACTTGTATCAATCACCCCCGTAATTACTGTTTTTCACATCACCTTCAATAGTGAATTACAAATTAAACTTTTGATCATAATGGGAACTTTAAAAAATACCTAAATGTCGTTTTGAGTGAGACCTTGGTTATCTAATGGTTATTTCTTTTTCTTTAGTATTTAAAAGGTGCTTACCTAAAGAAAATAATTGATTTTGGGAATTTCTTTTACCTCATAGCCAATTTACAACAATTAATTTAGATTTGCAAATACATGCAAAATATTTATGAGGTTGAATTAAAACAAAAAAGAAATTTCCTCTTCTCTTTTGGGAGGTACAGAAGAAATTTTTTAAAAATTATAATTCTGCCTCCTTGCCCAGTTTTCACTGTTTCATTTTCTGGGTCAATAACTTTTTGTAAGAATGTATTACTTATTATAAAAACCTTTTTCTTGCTCCTAGAGATGTTTTAATTGTAGGCTACCTTGGTCAATTTTTCATCCCTAATTTCTGAAAATTGGAGAAAATAAGCATGATGCTGCCTATTTGAAGATGGTAGCAGGTTGGAGAATATCGGAGACTTGGTATGCTTTGCCATTAGTAGTGTTAATTTAGCTTGGGACTTTGGTAGACCTGTAAGAGTGAAACGTTATGAGGGAGATGATATATATGCAAGGACTAGTACCAGCAGCTGTGTAATTTAGATCAGTAACTTATCATGGCTGTGCCTCAGATTCTTCACCGGTAAATTGAGGAAATACAACCTACCTCAGTATGGTCACTGGGAGGATTAGATGAGTGCGTGTATGTAAATTGCTTAGAATGATATCTTCCAAGTACTATGAGCTCTGTAAACATTAGCTGTTATTATTATGGGGATAGGAAGGGTCAGGGTTAGTAGCTAATACAAAAAAATTCCAAGAGAAAAATTGCCAGCATACAGCAAGGTGGAAATAAAAGTTCCAGCAAAGGTGGAACCTGCATGCCTGGAACTGAAAAATACTGTTTTCTCTGTCTGGAACTCCCCTCAACACCATCTTTCAGGTCTTGAGTCACATTTCAATTTCTCAGGGAAGCGTTTTGTGAGCCTCCAGAGGAGGATGCCTCCATGTTATACATTCATGGAGTCACACGTTTTTCTTTTATAGTACTTATAATAACTTATAATTAGGATTTTTTATGAGGTGATTTGTTCAATGGATATCTCTTTTAGATTGCCCTTCATGAAATCATAGACATGTCTATCTTACTTACCATTACATCTTCACTGCCTAGCACAAGACCTATAACATGGTTGGTTTGTAATGATTTTCAAGTGAATGAATAAAAGTCAAAGTAAACAGGAGGACAGATTGAGGCACTGAGAAAAGGAATACCTCTTGAGTACTGAGGTAGCTTCTTGGGCCCAAGACTTTTGCATGATTCTAGCCTCAGTGTGGCAGGCCCAGTCTGATGAAGTAACTAGAGAAAGCTGGGGAAGGAACAGATACTAGGACTGAGATATGAGCTGGCATCCAAAGTAGATTATGATAAATACCAAGCCAAAGTTATAAGGTTGGGTTTATAAATATTCAAAGTAACTATCTTATCTATATTGATATTCTAACATTTAATATTTCATAATTACTGGATTTACCAAAGTTGTCATGGTACCAGATATGATAATTTTCTTTATTAAAAAATTAATTATGCTCTGTATAATGGATTTTTTTAAAGATCAGCAGCAGTATTTCTCTTTTTTTACTTGAAGAATTTTGTAATCTTAAATGGAGAGTAAACAGCAAAGAGAAAATCCTGAGGATATATGTTTGCTTTCTTTAATGCCAATCAATCACAGAGAGGAGGAGTTTAATTTATTTTGTTTTACGTACCTCAATTTATTGAAAAAGTTAGGAACTTTTCTAAGAGATAGCACCAATGCGATAGCACCTGTAGAGAGATGCATTTTTTCTTTTTTTTAAGAATATTAAAATTTCAGATGGAATGGACTGTTTCAAGATGTAGTGTTTCCTTTCTTTTATTTTTTAAAATATAGGTTTCTTTTAAGCAAATTTTTATTTTACATTTTAGTCTACCATTGTTTATTTGAAAATGTTTTTA